CCCTATCCCAGATCATTTAAAATGAACTATTTAAAACACGTTTTTATTTCCTTTAACATTGTAGCTGTTTAACTGTGTATTGTTGGGGGTTTCTTCCTGCTCTCCAGCACATCTCCCTTGGCTGTCTAGGTTCACATTAGCCACCACTTACTCAATTTACATTTTTCTTTTCTGGAAGGAATTCCAGAGAAGTCAACACTTGTGCTCAGGCAGGTGGCGAAATTTTCTGCTTCCACTAAAACTCCCTGGGAGTTCAAAACGCTCATAATTACACAATCAAGTCCTCACTCTGGTACCATCCATGCACGGAAAGAATCGTTCCTCTCATTCACAACATTTCTTCCCCCAAAGCAAATGCACGCTACATGGGAGTAGGAGAAGAGTGCACAGTAACACAACTAGGATGGGCCTAGCCCACTAACTTAATGGCCTATTCTGCAGAAAATCCTGTTTGCTGAGCTTGCAGACCTAATCCTTCCATTGCAACACAGATGCTTTATTTCAAAACTCCGACTTTCACACTGACAGGTTTAAATTAGATGAAGACACCTTAAGTTTAAGAAAGAGGCCTAAGAAGAGCTGACAGGAAAATGAAATGTAGACTGGAAGGGCAAGCAACACCCTAGATTTGAGCTTATCTCCAACTACACAGGAACTGAACAGCCCTGGTCTCTGCTCTGCAAATGTAGAGCCAGCCATCCTCCCAGCACATGCGGAGGTGATGGAGGCTGAAGCCTGATAAAGAGATAAGGAGGCTAACTATAGAAAGTCTGTATTCTAGGTATTCCATACTACCAAAACAAACACCAGAGTTGTATTTAATAATTCAGATCACTTTTGTCTTATTAGTCATCGTAAAGCTAGAAGCATTGGATCAGTTTTATACACTGCATGTACTCTAGTAACTATTCTTAAAAGCAAAGAACTTTCAACTCCAAAGTCATGTTTGAAAGAAAATAAGTCACTTATGTTAAAGTTAAAAGTTCTGGTTCATCTCAAAAAAAAAAAATAAAAAATAAAAAAATCACATGACACACACAGAGCTTCAGAAACAACTACAGCAAGACTAAACAGACTTCAGATTGTGACCTCCAGAAGGTCTGCTCTACATTTGTGTTTTAGAAAAACCTTACTAGTTCTGGCAAAGGAAATCCAAAATACATCCTGTGCCAACTGTGCTAAGCTTTTAAAACAAGAAAATATTTAGACATGCAAATCTGGTTACAGTTTTTCCAAGGATAGCATACTTATCTAAGGAACATTTTAAAAACAAAAGAGATCAAGAATACAAGCTGGACTACAGTGAGATATTTACGAAAAGGGTAAGGTCTTTGCTTTTTTATACAGCCAGCAGAAAAAAATAGAGTTTGAAAGGCTCCTTGTTATGCCATTTAAGTCCAAAATTAAAACATGTTTTCCAATTTTATTTTTATTTCTGTTTTGCTAGAAGAATTTTTGCTAGAAGAAAATTCCCTATCAGCATCCACATTTATTGGAATGCTTATGTTGCTCTGTGAGAATGGAGAGGATGAGAATAGAGGAACAGAGGTAAAAGCAAAAAGTCCATTTTCACTTTGCAAACCAGGAGAATTGCTACACATGAATCTAACAAATTCAACGCTGAATCAAGTCCAAAAGTTCATCTACCTGCTATCCCATTATCAGCTATGGCCAATTAGGTATCTAGGGAAGAGGAGACAAACTGAAACCACAGTGCAGTTTCTTGGGACACTCTCCTCATCTTCAACCATTTGTGGTTCAAGTTTTCTCAGCCAAAGATAACTTAATACACCAAAACCCTCCGTGGTTCTTCCTTTTCTTGCTGTGGTTCTTTTTCAGCATTAAATTGTTAAGTCTCTCTGTGTATAACCTTTCAGCACCCACACTGAAAGGAATTCCTCAGGTTAACTAGACACATGAAGAACCACCTCCGTAAGTTCATTTTAAACCTGTAACCTACTGATTTTACTTAATATCCCCTCATTTGCATACTTGCTTGGAGTGATTAATTGATTTCCTCACAGAACCTGCTCCGCAGAAATTTTACAGATCTCTACCATACAACCACTCAGTCCTCTCTTTTGCAGGCGGAGAAGACCTAGTCTGCTTGTTCCTCACACGCCATAAACGCAGTCTTCCCAGTACCTTCAAAAGCCTTTTCTAGCTCTACTGCATCCTTTCAACATGGGGTGGAGGACAGTAGGAGAACCAGAACTGCACTTAAAATTGAAGATGTGAGAACAGTAAAAAACAGCAGCATAAAAAAAAATCGTGCCTGTAAAGGTTGTCAATTTGTATGTAACACTGCAGCTGATTAAAACACAAATGAGGAAACGTTTCTAGGTATCAAGGATTGAGGCTGGGCTGGCCACTAACAAGTGACAGACACCCTCTATTAACCCCTCTTCCCTCCCAGAAAGGGAAGGGAGAGAGAACAAGGGAGAGAGACTTTATGAGTTGGAAAAAAAAAACTAAAACAGCTTTAATGAAACAGTAACAATAAAAGATAATAAAAATAAGAACATAACGAAATATACACAAACAGATATCAAACGAACACTGAACCCAGCTCCCCCCACCCTGATGACGATACGTCACCACCACACTGCAGGGCTGGCACTGGGGCAGCAGACAGGGATGGGATGCAGGAGCTGGACTCAGGCACTGGATTCAGGGATGCACGGGTCAGGATCGACGACAGGAGAACAGACAGAGTCCTCCTCAGGTGTTGGCCATTGAAAAAGAGAGATTGACCCTCATGATCCGTCAGCTCTATACTGAATATGACGTGTATGGGATGGAACACTCTGTGGGTCAGGTTTGGGTCACCTGTCCGGTTCACTCGTCCCTGCAAGTGTGACCTTTCATTTCGCTCTAACCCTTTTTCACCACCGGCACCCCAACACGCAGTACAAGATTTAGCAGTGACTTGGTCGCTGTAAGAACAAGTACAAGCAAGGGCCTCTCCGCATCCCGTTCCTTGGTACAGACTATGAACACCAGGCCTGATCACTGCTGGGAGCAGTCACTGCCTGGAAATACGTGCTGTTGATTTCAGAAAGTGCCGTTAGTTAGAGGAGACTTAACTGAAAAGTTAAAGCACTAAAACAGAATTAGTGTTGGTTTAGCCCAAACCAGGACACTAGAGTTGACAATGCTAAAAACATAACCATCTTCCTCCATAATTCCTTCATGAGATTTCACATCAGACAGTTACAAATCCTTGCAATACTGACACACAAATACAATCACTTTGATGCAATTACTATTCATCACCATTATAGTACCTTTTACATCTAAATTAAGCTCCTTCTGTGTGACCTGCTCTAGGCTAACCTGCTTTGGCAGAGGAGTGGGACTAGATGATCTCCAGAGGGCCCTTCCAACTCCTACCATTCTGTGATTCAAGAAATTCAATTCTGAAAAGAAGAACAGATGGGAAGGCCATCTTAAAAAAAGAAACTGACTCCCTTCCAAGCCGAAGTTTATATCCTCAATTTAGCAAGTAAAGATGAAGGGCAGAGTAATTCCAGCTGGGATGTACCCTGAAACACATCCTGTGATGCATTTTTGCTTTCTGTTAATCAGTCAGTAACGCGTAACTACTTCAAATGCCTGATCTCGTGCATACCAGCAACCAGTGGTGTGTGCACGCCACGTACCTACTACCCTATAAAGTTGCAAGGAATGTCACATGGTGCCTACAGCAGCAAGGCTGAAACACTCAGTATCAGGGGTTTTCCCTCTCAGTAAACAGCACGTTACCACTGCAGTGTCAAACCCATTTCTGCTATTTCCAGTGCATATCATTTCTTAAAATTAGTTTGTTCTACAATGAAGCAGTAATACAAGGGCCCAGCAAATCCTCCCCTAGAAAGCATCCAGTAAGGTACCTCCAGCCTGAGAAGGTAGCTTAAAATAGAGAGAGACAGGGCATTGCTCAGATATTAGCTGACCCTAATTTTGTGTCCAAAGCCTAGAGGCCTACACAGACACTCTGCATGAAAAATTTCTAAAAGAAAGGTTTCTTTGGTGATTACTAGTAATCTATTTACTTTAACCCACGTTTGACTATTCTGTGTAACAGAAAAGAAAGACTAATGAATGACATGGCAGGAAGGTTTCTTTAATTATTTCTACTAATACCCAAAGAAAGAATGTCATGCATACCTGAAATACTGAGAAGTAAATTATACAGCTTTATACATCTCCCTGCAGATATCAAGGGATTGCATTATAAAATTAAATTGGGTATTTCCTGCCACAGAATCCACACACTTATAATATAATGATCCTGAAGTCGTTCAACAGGTTTATCAGACAGTTGAGAACACTTCATTAAGATACTTGTTCACACAAATGTACAGTCTAAAATATTTGGTAGAGAGATACAGTAATATTATGTAGACTAAGCCAGTGAACAGAAATCGGTTGAAGTTGTTCCTATTTCTTCAGTCAGATATGTCAATTTGATCTGACGATTAAGTGCTTTGGCTTGAGACAAATGATATACACCTAGAGAACTACAGTGCTGACAACAAAAAACAGTGTATTGTTCATAAGGTTACAAAGCAAAAAATAGACTGCGTTTGAAATTAACCTCTAAGTTTCACCCAACAATTAAAAAAATCCTACCTTTATATTTATGATTTGAGTTTAAAGGATTATTTTATAAAACAAATACTGAAAGACTTATATTCCGTCTATTAACAGTGCTAAAACTGCAGCTGTGAACTATACCACACCCTCCCCTGCAACGCGACCTCTCTGTACACAGCATTTGGCATTTCCTGATTCACAGGCACAACCAAGTCATTCTCACAACCCTCTGGAAGTTATGTGTCTTTGTATCTTTTCACTTCAAGACACAGATCTGGACACAATGAAGTTGGATGTGCCTGTCTTTGAACGTCTCATTACCGGATACTGCAAAGAGAAGTGAGTCTTTTGAAGGCAGACTTTTTCAAAAGTCAGACGCTACTTATTAAGTACATTAGCTCTGCTGCACATTTTATCAATTTAAGTCATTTAACACCCACTTCCCCCCACAATCTGCACTGTACCTACGTTACTCATTTTCATTCCTCCTGCTCTAAGAAAAAGCTATCCTCTTTCCGCTCCAAGCTGTGAAAACACAAGCCAACGACACGTCCCTTGATTCCACATCAAATCCATTATCAACATCTTTCCCATCTCTTCTACAGGATAGGATCAGAGTTGTACCTAAGACTCTGCAGCATTCTCTTTCCACAGTTCTCCTCATCAACTCTTCCACGCCAAATTCCTTCTCTTACCAAAAAGCCTCTAAGGTGGCTTGTACTTTCTCTGATTGGCTACTGAAAACAGAAGGCAAGGCTGACAACAGGATCCACCCCAAAGAAACAGCACAAGTATGTATCAAATCCCTCCCCAAGAGCCCTACAGATGGAATCTTTTACTCTCCTGCTGCCAAGGTACATCCTGAGGAGCCCAGTGCACTCGCATTCACAGGAGGCTGGCATGAGTCAATCTGTGAAAACAGCTCTCCACAGCCAGAGCACACCAGCCTGCCACACAGGAAATTACCATCAAGGTGATTTGTGTCAATTCTTTTAATTTGTTCTGAGACCAAGACACAACAAGGGGTAAGGGAGGGGGATGTGCCTAAATTAAAGGTGGCTGAAATGCTTACGGAATCAAAGGATAATCAATAAATGCTTAAAAAGAAGTGTTTAAAGAAATAAACGGGACAGTTCCATTTCATGACATGAAATCAGTGCCAGTCCCACACCAATGCCACCAGTGATCTCACCTCTCCCACGGCCACGTTTCCCACGGTCTGAAGGCCTGTCTCCTTGATTGTTGTCCACTCCATTCTCTTCAGCTCTAACTGTGGAGAGAGGACAGCTTAAGAAAAGCTTTAGAGACTCATACATGAGACAATATACCCATCTGCTTAACCTGAAAAGAAAAGGCAAGATTTTAAAGTGGTCTGGTCAATAGATCTCAGTCACTCCTTATCTGGGGGCCTAGCTACAAGTTATGTTTACTTTGCACCGGACAATTCGGAAGCAAAATACCTACTTGAGGGAAATGTCCCTCAGCAGACACACTTCTACTTTGAGGGGGGGGGTGGGGGGGGGTGGAGAAGGGCCATGTTTTGCAGCCTACACTATTAAATTAATTATGGCCTCACCTCTAACGAGGTGGGAAATACAGCTGCCTCACACTATGCTTCCTTGATAACATGCTGGGTGGCAACAGTGAAAGAATAAAGCGTAACCAAGAACCCCAATGCTTCTCCTGTCTGCCCATACCACATCCCTTACAACCAGGGAAACTTAAAAGAACTCTCCTCTGTATTTAAATCAGAGGGATGATGACTGAGTGAAGGCAAGGCATTAGAAAAGCATTGCAATTTAACTATTTTGTGGAAAACTCCTGAGGAGGTACCCTGAAAGACGGCTTGCTCCTTGGAGAAAAAAAACAATGACCAGCCACTTAAAACACTGCTGAGATTTTGCACTGCACAACCTCTCCTAATTGCAGCAAAAAAATCACTGACACTCAGACAAAAAGCTAGGAAGAGACTATCACGATTTGGTAACCACCGGAAAAATCTTTAATTCCAGTTTACAAAAAAAAAAAAAAAAAAAAAAAGAATCTGAGAAGCAGCATCTGCCTCTGGCAAAAATTTTGACCCACATTTTCATTTTGTTGGATCCAATTTCAATTTGTTCTAAGCGTAGCTGCAAGTTTTATTAATTGTTGTTCCTATATTGACATTACTGTATTCTACAAAGATTCACAGTGTCTTCATTGGCACAAAATTTTAATATACCCCCATAAAGAACTAGAAGAGTTGGCTAATATTCTAAGTATTTTTCCCACTTTTAAGTGAAAAGCCAAACATACTGTTTTCACTCCAGTTTCTCTGCTCATCTATCAATGTTGTGAACGGCCCTTACAGGCAATGTATACAGCTTTGATACTGCTGATAAAAGGTAGAGAAAAAAGCAACATGTTTCCAATGGTGTTCTACAGCGATTCTACCTAACCTGCAAACATCAGTTTGCTTTTTTGGTACTATTCCAACTGTATAAACTGTAGCAAAGTTTTAAATGTTTCAACTCTGTTGTAGAAACTCGCCTTTGGTTGGCTTATATGAGTAGTATATGCTAGAGATTAATAATGATCCCAGTCTTTTCATTCCCCTTACAAGAAGATGAGAACATCTTCAGGTTCTCCCACTCATAAGAGGAAATGGAGTCAAGGCTCCGCGATTTTTTCATTAAAAGAAACAAAAACTGTATCAGCTGTGCAGTGACATACTTGCTCTCAAGCAGTCTTACAGAGTCAATTCTAAAACTTACATAAAGAACTATAATCTACACAAGATTAATTACGCAAAAAAGAACTGAAACTTAAACTGAGTGTCTCTGAACAAGCACAGATCATCCCAAAACTAAGTCGCGCAGACAGATCAAGCATACTTGTCGCACAAACAAGTTACGATCCCCTCAGCGCTGAGCTATAGCTCGGGCGGACTTTACTCCATTAAGCATCGCTCTTAACTCAGCCAATTTCAGCTTCAAGAAAAGTGTCTGAATCTTTAAAAATGAACCCCTATACGTACACTCTCGGCCACGGCTGCCTCCTCTTCCCCGTCTGTTGGAACTTCCCCGTCCGCGACTCACTTCTCTGTCCCCTCGTTTTTCTCTGTTCTCTTTGTTTTCTGAACTTTCCTTTCCAAGGCTTTTCTTCTTCCCCCCTACAGTCTCCCAAGAAGTCTATTTGGGTAGAATAGAATTAAACGTCAAAAAGGAAGAGACAGCTCTCAATGCATACTTCCACCTCACACCCCTCCAGTCCACGGAGCAGAACAAGTATTAGCATAATGTCACATATGTAATACCTTGCAAACTGAACTGATACAAATGGAAACATAGGCTGTATTTTTGGGAAGAGACGAGAAAGACACGAGTCTTAGAAGTCGGATTGTCTTATGGAATGTGAGAATCCCAAATATTTCTGCCTATAATAGACTATTACTAGTTCAAGGAACCCTAGATATGACCACAATGCAGGAAATCTGCAATGCAAGCAACAGTTTCCCCTCTCAACTACCTCCATAAATCTAGCATGGGAACATGCACAGAGCTATCTTTTTTCTCCCAAGAAATGAGCAAATGCTTATAAGCATCATTGAACAAGATACTGATGAGAAAAAGTTTGTAGCCTTAGGCCGGGGGGGAAGGAAAGATAAAGGAAGCGCCATTATCCAAACATACTAGAATTCAAGCACCAAGAGAGAATGGCAGAACAACAACTTGTGAAAACTGGGGCCATGATAAGACCATCCATTCTTAACAGCTACAGCTCACCTCACACAGCAAAGTACAGGAAAAAACTACGTCTAAACTAGCCAAGGGACCAAGGTCCAAACATCAGGCTTCAGCTTTAACATTAAAGCACATCTTCAAAATAAATTCAAGGATCATATCTCTATACGATATATATCTATACTCTATAGCAGTACCAGTAAGAGTTACAAAAATAAAAACTACTAAAACACTTGCTAATAATAGCACAGTGCCTCACATATTATGCAATTGCATGGTTAGTGTATTGAGACATAGTTGCAAAGAAAGGTATTATTTGCAAACCATTAAGATGGCAGATAAGTTTATATGTATGTCTTCATCTCTAGGAGTTTATAGTCTAGGGAAAGTGTCTAAGCAGGAAATTTGCATACACAAATCAGATGGCATCAAGTCTGAAGCACTAAAGTCATGACCTCCGACAGGCACCTGCATCAAACAAGAAAGGCTGGCTATCAGTACTTCTAGGTCCTGTCCTGTCTCCTCTCAATTCAGACCACAGCAACTGAGAAGCCCTCATGAGGCAGACAATGACCAGCTAGCCCAACCTGCCTCAAACTGAGAAAACCAATGCTATTGAGAAAGCAGGTAACAAAGCAGAGTACAAGTATAAACTCAATGTTTCACTGTCTCCTTTGACAGACTAAGTACTAAGAGAAGTACTTATTTTTTTGACATGGTATAGGCAAGAAAGAAGGGCGAAACCACTTTTCAATTTCATCTCCAATATAGAAGACTACACTGCCATAAGCCAACCCAGCTGAAGCGCAGACGGTGCGGATTAGAAGTACAAAACTACGCTTTTGAGCAACATCACGTGATTTGTGTGACAGAAAACTGTTTCCTCCAGTAACTGTCACATGGCTTCATCCGTTGCAGCCTGTGTAACTGCATTACACACTAGAATGCTCCTAGAGCTTTAGAGACACTTCACAGGAGGAAAAACAACTGCACTGACAACTGAAGACCCAAGTCTATACAGTCCAGAATGCACTGCTATTTCACTGATGGGCAGGGTGCCAAAACATCCTCGACCACTAAGAAATACCCAAACCTGGGTGATCCTGCAAAGCTTGAGAGGAAGCAGCCTCTTCTTAGTAAGGTTTTACATGACTGGAGAAGGATCAGCAAAAGGACAACTATGAAAGCATCGTGAAAGCATGTGCATGTGAAAGCACAATGTAATTTTGAAGAAAGCCTGAGATGTTGGGCAGGTCCTTTAAGATAGAAGACGGTGCTACCCCTGGGCATGGGAATCCACCACAGACTATTGAAGCTGTCTGGTTTTGTAGGGGAGCTAGTCGATTACAGTTTCAGCTGGTGATGTCTTGTGCAACCCAAATGACAGTTGTGGGCCCGACCTTCAAAAATATGTAACAGAAGCCCTCTTGCAGGTTTGACCTTAGATGCAAAGAAGAATGATCTGCAAGGTTCCCTTTGTTCTGTCTTCAAAGGTTTAGGAAGTAAAACATGGTCGGGCATAAAATGGATCTTACACCTGTAACAGAAGTCTTGGGCAAAGAAACACGCCGTTCTCTACTCCCACCCACAAGCCTCTATCTATCCAAAGCTCAAGAATCACAACGTTGCAAGGGAAAAGTCTTCACAAAGACTAAGTCACAGGGCATAAAGCCTGAAAGATCACAGCATTAAAAAAAAAAAACAATCAAACAAAAAACCCCACAACCACTGTCCGAGTACCAAAGAAATTATGAAAATTATAAACAGACATTCTAGCTATCACTCCTTGCTCTTCTAATTCCTCAAATTGGACAGACACACCTTCTTCCAAATGAGGTAAAAAAAAACCAATTTTTAGTGCATCAAAGCAGAGCAAAACTAGAGATTTGATAACCTGCATTCAGAACTAGTAGTACCTCTGCTTCCAACTATACATCAAATCCACGGTTAAACCATTTGAGTATAATGGCCTTAAAACAAACCCTTCAAGTTGGAGGCCCACAAAGTTCTGTAAATAAGAATAAATTTCTTCATGCCCTTCAATTAACCCTCCTTCCTCCTTGAGCCCTTAAAGTTCTCTGCATTTGTTTCTAAGTTGCATTTTGTCTACAGAGAGCAGTGAGTTCAGAGGGACTTGTCGAAAGAGCAGACCAGATGGATATGTTGCTTCTAATTGATAAATGAATTCAGAAAGTTTCTTCCATGTCACAATCACTTATGACAGTTTCCTCAGGTAAGAAAACATTTAACATTCTCCATTTACCCTTAACATTCTCTCCATTTCAACCAGAAAACTATTTTCAAGTCCGATAAATGAAAAGGGGATAGAAAAGCAAGTCCTCTCACTCAGAAGAGTATGTGTCCTAGATTTAGGGTGTGTGTGGGGTGAGTTTCCTCATTAACAATAAGCCACAGTACACATCCTGACAAATCACAGGAAATAACTGCATGTTCGGCATTAAGAAAGGAAGTCGAGGTTTCTCTCCCAATTCAGATGAGATGGAATCTAGTTTACTGCCTCAGATAAACTGTAGGAAGTCCCTCCAGCAAAAACTTCAACCACAGCAAGACATACTTTCCTGACATCTCTTGGGATAAAAAATTGCTCCGTGCAACACTCTAAGCAACATCATTTGTTGTTATATATACACTGTTTAGTCTCTTTCTGTTCTCCAGTGAAGTCATACAAACGAGCAACACCATGAAAGCAGCAACTGCTTGTTGTGCCACCTTCTGCCATTACTCACGTTGCCAATGCAACTTACAGATGCGGAAGCCTCCTCCAACTTTGATATTGGCAATGCACACCCACAGAAGTTGCACAACAAAATACCTTCCTGCCCTTCGGGTTTATAAAGATTGACCTCTGTGGCAAACGCTGTCTCCAGTCTCAGGGCTGTGGAGGTGCTACAGAGTAACTACAAATGTTGCAGCAAAAAAGAGGCCTGTGTCTGACAGAGCACAGAGTTCTGCTGCAGTTAAAATTGCTGCTCATAAATGAAAGCCGGAGGACTCCGCAAGAGACCAGCTGAACGTCCACAACATTTTCAAGGTTCAGCCTACTCTAAGACATGCGTGCAGTAGAGAAGCTGCCCTCGTCTCCATTTCCTTCAAAAGAATTTGAACGGAGACCTGGAAATCTAAAGCTTCCAAAATACAACTTTCCCAATCATTCTAAGAAGCAGACAGATGCAGCAGAGAGTGGTTTAATATGAAAGTAAAACCTTACCGTGTCTGAACTTCCTTCCAGCAGTATGTTGATTGCTCTGTTCACATCCCCATTACAATCATGTAGTGCCACTATGCACTCATCCTGGTTTTTCCCCGTCACTTCCATAAGCTGACAGTAAAAGTCAAACATGTTAAAACATCTAAATTACCATCATAAGAAAGTAAGAGTTAGTACCACCACAGATTCCAAGAAAGTGCATAGCTACTGTGCCAGAGCAAACTAAAATCCTTAACAAAGGTATCTGCATTTTACAGATCTGCTTGGGATTCAGAAAAGACACAAGATGAAACACAAATGAAATGGTCACTAAGAAAGCTCTTTCACACCTGCTCATTTTCCTTTGCACTTACAGCAAATGCTGTCACCCAAGAGACAGCGGTATATGAGGGTAAAGATTTAAAAGACCAGGATAGCTCCAGTATGAACCTCTCTCCCTCCCCATCAAACATCTCCCTCTTTAGCCCGCTGTGAGAACAGACATAAGGTAAGTCATGGGAGAGAACAGATCCATCTGGAAAAACATCTAGACTAAGAAAAAGGTTATTTTTCAGCCAGATCAGCTCCCTGGATCCGTTTCAGCATAAGGCTGCACAAAAGACATAAATAATGGCAGCTTAAGGAGACCTAGTACTGAACTATGCTCCATGGACCTGCGGTGCATATCCTGAGGAGTGTGGGATGGACATAATCACAGTCTGCCACGGGACATCCAGCAACTTCACCCAAAGAAAAAAAATCTACATGAGCTAGAAATACATATGCACAATGTAAAATACTGGAGATTTCCTATCCAGAACTTAATTCTTATCCTTCCCACCAGCAGAGCTATAGGTACTATTGATGAGGGTCCTTTGGCTTCAGGAAGTACAAGCCTTCACTTCTGGCACAGCAACAGAACACCTTCACAGGAGGAACAACAAAAAGCACTTAATAATGCTTCAGAGGAGGTTTTACAAAGCAAAAGAAATCAAGAAATCTGCTTCTCTCCTGCATTAATGCATTCACACTATTTTTTCTCTCTTTCTGGGTGTACTCCTAGGTTCTTCATGAGTCATGATGTGTTTACTAGGGCAAAATTACAATACCCACAGCAGAACAGGGACCCGGATTCTCAGTACTGCTTGAGTTAATGGTCTCAGCTATAACTGGGTAATGGAAGCTTGAGCATCTACACCCAAAACTCAGCATGGTAGAGGAAATGGTGTGAGATTTCATTTCCACAGGGTAATTCTATCATTTTAATGTATACACAGATCTGGGAAGTCAGATTTAATTTTTTTTTTTAAATACATCAATTCACCTTTAAGCTATTACTGGACTTTTACTTTTCCTGAAAAAACAGCAAGACATTAGCAAACTCAGTTTGCATAGGTGACATTTTTGCCCATGGGCATGTACATGTGGACAAACTGAACGCATTCTTTATTCTTTACGCATCAGGACCATACTAGAGAGATAGAGTCTGGAAAAGACATCACCACAGATGAGTTTTGGCTTAAAGGCATGTCTACAAAGGAAAACATACCAATGTAACTATACAGCCAGAGCTATATTACCACACAATGTCTTGTAAACAGACTTCACAGTGCAATAAGAGCACCTTTTCCTAGTTAAACTTACATCCTTCTGAAAAAGTTTTCACCTAAATCAGAAACAGATGTTCTAGCTCCAAAATGTAAGCCGGCTTTAGAGCACGTTATTGCAGGGCACAAAAACTCTGTACCATAAGAAACATACTTGTTTCACTTTATCTTCAAAATCTGCGTCGTTCTTATCGTAGATCATCTGAGCAAGGCGAATCTGTTCTGCTGTTGCCTGAAAAACGCAAACATCCAATAAAGTACACAAAACGTAACATATTTTTAAAAAGCATTTCCTACTGTCACTGTATTTTTTTCTCCAGATTCTCAAAAAGAACTTACACAGCAATCACAGAAGTGCTATGGGGAAGGGATTAACATCTCCTCTATGCCCATTTTACAGTTAAAAAGCTAGCTGAGACAGAAGCAATTTCAACATGTTTTAATGCGTTTGAACCACAGCTAAATGTCGTCACATAGACAAGACAACCATATAATAAAACAGAATTTACCACAGAAGCCTATCCTTTGATACCATTACCTTTACCCAGTATCTACCGCTCCAGAGTTAGAGTTTTATCATAACAAACTGGCAACCAGATTTCTAAATTAACCACATCTCATAGTTCCTGCTCACATCACCTTCCACCACTCTCCCAGCACAACCTGACTCTCTAGTCCTATGAGCACTTTAAAAGAGACTGAGTCATGCCTCAAGATTTTTTGCCCATGAACAGCTGCACTTATTTTCTTTATAAACGAATGCTGGTCTCTGAAAACTGTTAAAGGACTTTGCTGTTCATGAAATATTTGGTGCCTCTGTAACGTTTCTGGACCACAAATCCATGCTGGCAACCTCTTCAAAAGCTGACAGACTAAAATGGATGGATGTAGTAAAGTGCCATAAATCCAAATAGGGTATGGCTGGCCCAGAGAGAAAGCAACTCAAGAACACTAATGTCACATCATAAAGGCCACTCTTCATAGTGTAGCATTTGCAGCCTATTTGAACTGCATTCCCATGAAAATACAAGATAACTCCATGCTACATGATCCTGGACCTAATTTGATTTTTGCTCAAACAGAAGAAGTTTCTATGTCATGCTAGAGAAGGCTGATGCTGAAGAGAGCCAGGACCCAAAATGTGAGTTGACATGCTGCAGAAGACTTCTTCACTGGGAGAGGGACCACCTCATCCACTGAAATTCTTGTCAGAAAGGATTAATCCTGGGCAGCTGGTTGAATCTCACCTTTTGAAGTCTCACTTCACAGGATACCCACATGAAACTCTGTGCCTCACGAGTTTAGACTTAATCAGCCTTAAACTGCTTCACTTTTGGAATCTACCACAAATCCAAACTCTAGAGGAGGTCACCAAGTTTAAATGCTGAGAAGAGTCTAAAAATTACTCCACCGTACACCACCAGCTGCTTATTTGCTGAGAAGTGACTGCAGCTGTCCCAGTTCCTTGAGGGACGCTACATTTGCTCTACTCAGAGGTGACGTTCCAAGACAATTCACATTTGTAACAGAGTTAAGCACTCTGCGCTACTTCACATTTTCAAAGTATCATGCTGACTGCTTCATAGGTCAGTCGGTAACACAGAGGACGCCAGCCCCGGTGCCACCGTCCACGAAAGCCTTCCAGCCAGTGCGATGCTCTGTGCAAAGGAGCTCTTTCTTGGTGTCTGCTGAGAGTTCAGCAGAGAGCAAAAACAAAAGGTCTGCTGGTTTCAGGAATTAAGCCTTGTTGATCCATCTTCCTGCTCTGGCTTCAGCCTCCTCAGGCCCACTGAAACTTTTACGCTAGTGAAGACATTAAAGATATCCAGCAGAGTAAAAACATTCAGGCAATCTAATTTCTGTACAGCAAAGATCGTATATTTGACCAGAAACAGGAAGCCAATAAGACTCATTTTTTCCATTTTTTTCAAGTTAGAAGACAAAAATACACCAATTTCATAACAACATCAAAGATGCTGTCACACCTTTTTTCCTGTGTTTTCCTGTGTAAGCAGAGCTTAGAAACAAGTAGGTGCAATTTTCCTAATATTTATGCCAGTGGATTACACCCAGATGGAATTGAAGATTCAGAAGAAAAAAGCCAACAACAAAAACTCACAACATGCGTTTACTACACAACCATCAAATCAGTGTCACAAAAAGTTTTCGTTTTTTCTGAAGCAAGTGGTTCTTCTCTGCTTTTAACGCACATTGTTACGAGTAACATTGTAGTACCCTATAAAAGAGCGTAATTAAGTTTTAATTGTGACTAAAAAAATAGTAGCATCTGAATACATCCAAAACTTCACTCAGCCTTACAATATATATTATCTTTGCAGCATAACAGAGTGAAGGAAATTTTTAACCAACAACTTCAAACCACCGGAAAACAGAAGTGTGCAAAACACAAAATTAAGAGACAGTAATAGGCCCAATAAATTTTATTTAAAAATAAAATTATTTTATTTAATTACAATAAAATAGTATTATTTATTATCCAGAAGCAATGCAAAAGAACTGTGATGTAATTTCTTAAATAACTTAAATTATGATCAATGGGATATTACGACAACAAAATCTCCATTTGGGAAAGCAAGATTATTCTACACTCAGAAAACTGAATCAGTGGTGATTAAACTGTAAATTCCCACACATTTCTGTCGATCTGTAAAACCTGACTAAGCAGGAAGGTCCATTTGATATCTAAACAATAAAAAAATACAGTGCACTAAAGCATAATTGCTGTATATTAAATAACCATCTTTTCCACTGAATTGACCAAACCAGTATTGATTATGCAAGAAGTGGACAGAGTTCAGAAAAAGCTCTCTAAGACTTAATGCTTAAAATTAATGAACCACATAGGTTGGAAAGGTCCTCCAGTGATATTCAGTGCATCCTCCCATTGAGAGTAAGTCCCATCAGAGGAGCTGCTTGGAGCCAGACAGAGATCTCACAACCTTTCTAATCCATGACTGTGTTCATGGTAAACAATATTTTCCTTTTAACAGCTGGAATTTACAGCATTCCAACTTGTGTCATTGTCTCTCTGAGAAGAGTCAGGCTTGACCTTTTCTATACCCTTTCATGAGGTATCTGAACAGATGACAACCTTGCCTTGCCTTCTTAGGGCCGAACAAATGCAGTTCTCTCAGCCACCCTCTATTCATCCTGTGCCCCAGCCTCTCAACCATCTTCACAGCTCTTTGCTGGACTAGCTCCCATCTGTCAACATCTGTCTTGTGCCAGGGAATCCAAAACTGGGCAGAGTACTTCACTGGTACCTTGCAAATGTCAAAAAAGGGGAAACCACCACTTCTGTCAACCTGCTCACTATACTCCTGCAGCCTTACTTGTTATAAAACAAGAAAAAAAACCAAACAAACCACAAATTCATCTGTTGAAAGTCACTTTCTAAATCCACACATTAGCATGAATCACCACTATGCAAAGCATTGCAACAGAAGGAGATAGTAACAGCTTGAGGTCACATAATTAATACTGTACAAAACAGAGCAAGAGCCCCTCCATGCTAAAGATCAGTCTAGAAAACAATAAAAGACACAATTTCCCAGGGGATCAACTCTAGAATGATGCACTTTCTGACAGCTCAACTGAGGCAATTCTTGAAATGAGTCCAATTTCAAGAAGTACCCGCAAGTGAATGAGTGAGCTGCCAGGTGCAGAGACAGCTTGCACTCTCCGTAGCTCAGAGAAGCACACAACTTCACTCGGCTGCTGAGAACCAAAACAATGGGGTAAAAGCCTAATTCCACTCTTGCAGATACCCAAAATAATTTTAGTCTGCTGCTGGACAACCATCTTCATTTCACGTTGAGAACAGTGCACAAGTTTATGATTTTGTGACTTGCAGATATGCTGAATCATGCTGTAGAACGCAGCATGCATCTAACGAAGCTTTTCCCACCCACCCAAACTCCTCTATCAACCAGAAACCTTCTAGCATCAGGAGGCTGGCATATGGAAGAGCTGAGATCTGAGGACACTGAGGTCACAGGACAGAAATCCTAACACAGGCATAGGCATAGAATTCCTCGCTGATGGGAAACACAAAGCTCCTTCAGAGACAAGAATATGGGAACAACCTAATGCTGTGCCAGATTACTGAGTAATTAAAGCAAGACATCAAACATGCTCTTCCAAAATAGACCATGATTTTTCCTCCTGTCTTTTCTCAGTTTTTACTGACTTAGGGAAGACATGCATATCATTACACGCTCACTTTCAACTCAAGATCACATTGTATCACATACCTGTATTACCTGTTTCTGTGGTTGTGTTGGCTGTGTGGCTGAAATCTGTGTTTTGTCCCGAGTGCCCCGGGTACGTTCACTGCCCACCGAAGTCATCATATACAGTATATACAAAACAATGTATGTACAAAATAGAAAATCTGAAAGGAAAAAAAAAAAAGGGCATGAGTTAAGGTAGTGTACTGATTCAACACCCAGATAATACACAAATGCAGTCGCTCAAACTCTTCCCGCCTTTACCACGAACTCTATATAGAGACTCCTGAGAAAGCAACTTTCATACACCACTATCGGATTTATCGCAATCTTTACTGTAAAGCAGGAACTGCAGTGGATAAAGAGCATTTGTGTCAGCTGACTGGGATCCGTCTAGATCTGTGCTTCCAGATGACTTCTAAATCTCAAAGCTTTTTCCAGTTATTTAACATACAGACTTTTCTATCTGATACTCTGCTAAAATTATCAGCTCCAGCTGTACCACTTCTTATATTTCTACAGTACCTGCTGTCTTGTTTTGATGCCTGGAATTTAACCACTCTCATACTCACTCAGAACCCTAATGCAAAAATCACACTCACAAACTAGGCACTGCCTCTCTTACCTATCATCAGACCACTTTCCCACTTGCATACGGAGGTTGTGGCCAACACCCACTCTACTCTCACCTCTCATATGAGAAATTGATGCTTACCTTTAAATCCAGCCTCTGTAGTCAGTATTTTTGTTTTGTTCTCGCTCATACTTACAGAAATTATTTACAAGACTACCTATTACCCTGCTTTGAACATACTTTTGTTGTATGGCAACAAACCCAAAAAGAAAACCCAAATCACATACACACAACGCTGCTATCACATTTGTGGCAGTCAGCTTTCATTCTCTTTCATCCTCTAGCATTAAAACCACTTTGAAACAAGAAATTTATTATTCCCCCTGTTTGTTCAGCATCTACACGAGGCTAATTGATTAGTATGGTTTATAGTAGCTATGATAACTGGAAACACATCTCTCAACTGGTCAGAACGGTCATGGTCAATTGCCTGGCTTCTGTCCCTGTAACCCTGGAAAGTAAAACTGGAAATTTAGGGAACTAAGGACAACCTGCAAGTGGTACACCTGGGCAGAAGAAGATGTGCAAACAAGCAGCAAAGCACTTTTACTGCAGTGCCAAGTATGAATGTGCCTCAGGACACAACTTGTCAGGGCAGCAGCTTTGGTGCATGATGGCTAGCAGCACGTTCAACACATGATAATGCTCTGAACAAAACTGAGCAATCTGCTGCAACTGTATGGATGAGGATGCGTTCAACACCCAACTGCTCACTAGCACTCACAAGTAATGGGTACTCAACAATTACAGTTGTAATGAGACACTTCAGTTTAAACATCGATTCACGATGCTCAGGAGCTTCAGCTAGAACCAAAAAGACAATTAACCCCATTATCATCCGAATCTCTTCTTCGCTTTAGAAACGTATTTTTGTTGATCAAAATTGAACCCTGACATTGAATTTCTTTATGGGCTAGTTAAAGCACTCAATAAAGTCTGAAGAGAAAGTATATTTCCTTGAACTCTTACATATTTAACAAGAAATGGCCTGCCTTTACCAGGAACTGACTATAGTATGAGCTAAACTGGAACACTGTGTTTCTCCAGCTTTATGAATATATTCACCAAAGCCAAGCTGTCTCCCAGTTTCTTAAGATAGTCTAACTTTGTTGTCTTCTAAGCCCCAGAACACACAGGCCTTCAGAGCACTGCCCTTGACACCCTAAAAGCCAGATACAATCAGAACAGCAGATATTGAAGCTCATGACAACATGCTCTATGGAAAGCAAAATACTAGGTAGATGTGGAGACACTCTGAACAGCAAGTTCAACACTTATTGCTGACTATCTGATTGTGGCTGTCCACTGGTATTTTAAACATGTTATGGACAACCTTCAGTTGAGTCTGCAGTAGAAATTACTTTTGCTCTTTGTGTTAAAATCTTTGGGCTCTATAAGCCTTGCTGACCAGACTGCCAATGTCTGAAAACTTAAACTTATACAGACTAATAATGATCTTTAGGTTAGTTTTTTTAAATATCGGTCAGCTCATCACAATTTGAACCTAGCACAATAAGTGACGAAAAAAAGCTCTGAAGAGAGAACATGACAGAGAGCACTAACCTCTCTGAAAGACAAGCTAACAGTTTTAAACATGACTGTCTGGAATTAGCCCACTGTGATTTAAGATATGTTGAGAAATCCTAACTCCCCAGCGATTTTTCATCATTTCTGAATTAGCATCATGCTTACACAGATTCTGGTACCTAGGAATTCCAACATACATTTCAATGTTATTTTCTCTAACATCACCAAAGGTACTCAAAATACTGAGATCCATGTCTTGGACATGACAGCAGCACACACGTTAAAGAGTCTTCCATTTGTTTGTAAAACACAAGCTGAAGTATAGCCTACATTCTGATAGCCAGGCAATCTATGGCACCTGAAGAGGATTGTGTCTTTTCTCCCTTTCCTAACACATTTTGCAGTGCCTCTGTGCCACAGCTGCTTAAGCCATGTTTGTTTTTCAGCATGAAAGAACACTTTAAAGGAAAATGGCAGGCACACAAACATTTGAAACCCGTCTGGTGAATGAAGTAGCACGGCGAGATCAGCTTGCTGGTATGAACAGAGACCAACAGCCTGAACAGTATAACAGGATCTTTAAAGAACTTTATTTTGCTGACTGTGCAGCTCATAAGCAGCACAATTTGTCAACAGATCTGAAGCAGAAAACAAACAAAGGTGAGAGACTCTTCCTGGCAGCAGTATGGATTTGTACTTGCTTCAGACTAGCGTGGAGACACACCCACAGTTTGACATTCCCCATCAAGCCAACATGGCCATGTTATAATCCATTTCAGACACAATCCAGTCTTCTTAAAGGCACAATCGGCAGTTTGATATAAAGACAGCTTTCAAAATAAAGCTATTTTAATTCCCCTTAGTTGGCTCCCACTATCCACAGGCAGTATCCAGACAGAGCAACCAGCCCAGCCCCACAGTGATGGAGGAGCAGCTGAAGGGCCCTGCTCCACTGCCAAGGGTGCACTAATGAGGGAAACACCACACCTCCCTGGCACGGGCATGCCTTCACCGCACCGGGCTGAGGCTTCACACCCTACCACACCTACTCCTTAGAGTACCAAAGCAGCAGGCAGAAGGGAGGCAGATAGCGATTGCCTTCAAATTAACATAGTGACTACAATTTCCAGCATAAAGTGGGATATTATTAATTAATAAGATGGGGCTGAACAAGAACATTTCCTTGCTCGCAAAGCAGCTTCTTATTTTCTCCAATGCCTCATATTAAAGTCTGTTTGGCAAGCTGTTGTCATAGCAATGAGTAGAGTATCACAAACCAATGAACTTAATTTTAACTGCAGATCAAATGAGGAAAGAATATTTGAGACTGGGAGGAAGAAAACTCTTAATTAAAATCTGTTTAATAAAGATCAGAAAATATTCAGACAAGCAGATGTTTCCATTTCCATGTCAGGGTCTGGCTCAGTGCAAAAGTCCTTCATCAGCAGTTAATACTCAACCTTGTAGACACATTGCAACTCTAGTAAGCAGCCAAAACAGCTGTATTGTGTGAAGATGTAGATACACATTGAACGAAACAGAGGCCCAGAGCACTAGCAAAAAAGGAGGAGAAAGCATTAGAGAACGAGAGTGGACTTCCCAAAACTTGTGGAAAAAAGGTGGTTATACTATCTTTCAGGACAGTAAAAAAAAAAAAGGCACAAGATTGCTGTAAACCTTTTTTTTTTTTCACTGATGTAATCTACCACCTCCAGAGGAAGGTTGTCTTTACTTCTACTTTAAAAAAAAAACAAAACAAACAAACAAACAAACAAAAAAAAACACCAAAAAAAAACCCAGACAAAACAAAAATTTAAATAATCTTGATGAGTAGCTAAGAAAAATTATTCACTTCAAGCATGCTTAGCTTCTCAAGCTCTAAGGAATCCAAATTTTAGCACTTCCATAAAAATGGAAAGCAAAAGAGGCATGTAAGAGGAAAACCATCCCAAATCCCAATGTTTTGTATTAGTGTTTCTGTCTGTACAGTAAGTTTAGCCCAAGGACTACCCTACAACAGCAGATATAGTATCGTATAAGCTGTCACCAGACTAGTAATGGAATGGCAACAATCATTCCAGTTTCCAAAAGCAGTACCAAAGTACTGGTATCTCAATATCCAACTTTCCTCAAGAGACCAAATCCACACACCACCACCCCCCACCAAAGTCTCCATATGGTAAGTCTTATCCAACACATTTAGTTGGGTTTTTGCTTTGGATTTTAGGAGAAAAAGAGAAAGGCAAAGAATAAAAGAGTAATTGAATGTATATCAACACAAAAAGCAGGTTTTTAAAGCTATCATAATGCTTTCTTTGATCTTTTGTTCAACTTTCCCCCAGCAAGAAATCTAGTCCTTTTAGACTCAAAGAAGTCAGAAAAGCTAGAGATACCCAGAATACAAATTGACTTGACAGGGTTGCAAGCCCCACAAGACACACTGAACCGACTGCTGAACTTCCATGGACAGACCATGCACAGCAATACCACCTGACTTTCAAGAATCCTTCTGAAGTTAAATATTCACTTCCGTCAGCTGAACAAAACATTTGCAGTTTCAGTTCTTTTCCTGAAGCAATCTCAAGAAGTTATTTTCCTGATGCTCTGAACAAGGAGCTGTGATAAAGAACACTGTGCAGAAATTTCTATGAACACCTTAAAAAGTGTTATTATCTTTTTATACTCTAAGCACAAAGCTACTCAGCCGAGTATTTCTTACAATGACAGAATTGGGAAAAGGGTGCAGGACGCTGCCTCATGATGGCCTGACTACTGTACATGTACAATGAGTCTAGACTTTACTGCTACAGCAGTGGTGTGACACGAGCATGAGGAAAATGAATGGAGGAAAAAAATTACGTCTGCAGAGCACTAACATAATGCCTTTCCCTCAAGTGCTGTTGTCTAAAATACCTCACCACCTATATTACTGCTTGAAAGTGGAAAAGTTCGCAACAGTCAG